TATATATATATATATATATGCCAATGGGTAATAATAAATTTTTAATAAAGTTGTGTCAATTTTTATATGGGTTGCTGTCATACATATCTTTCAAATGAAGTGATGTTAAAAAGAAATGTTTGTTTTTTTTAACAGGTATGGTTTCAAAATAGAAGGATGAAAGACAAACGTCAGAGACTGGCTCTTACCTGGCCCTACACGGATCCACATTTTGCTGCCTACATCATCAACGCTGCTTACTCGGGATATCCACCTCCACTGGCCGGATACTACGCCTCCATTGCCACACGCTATCCCCCGACCCCTTATCACGTACCTCCTCCCCCGAGGCCACCACCCCCTCAAACTCTGAGCAGCTACTCTCGCCCGGAAGCACACTTCACCACATTCGGACCTTGCGTCGATCCCTGCAGGTGTCAACTTGTTGGATTTCAGACGAGGGTTCCTGGCAGTCCTCCCACTCCTCCCATGGCCCCTCAAGACTCTTCACCGACTCCGACATCTCTGCCGACACCGCCAACAAGAACGACGCAACTCTTCCAACCTTACAAAACGGATCTCGAAAGAAACTGAAATGTCATCTTTTGCACTTTACTCTCTCGCTGGAATCCCGTGTGGGATGGAATATCACCGTCTATTCCAGGATTATTGGAAAGCACCCTTAAGATAGTGTGTGTGTGATGGATTGGACAACATAATGGACAACGACGTATTTTTCATGTTTCTCCAAAAGTAATTTTATAACTTGTTGACAACCATGCGATTTATCTCATTTCTAAATGAAGCTTTTAGAGGCTTAAGGGACGGACCTACAGTAAATTACTAACGGAAAAGAGTGTTTTTGAACACCCTATGCCAAAAGTTTAAAAAAAAAATTAGCAAACTAATTTTAACTTGTAACAATTGTTTTTGTTACTATGTGCGATAATTGCACAAAATTTCGCATACTGACGGAGATATAGACATTTTCATAAAGAAAAGAAGAAAAAAAGCAAATTTGTTTGTTTATGTTTTTTTGCTAAAACTTTAAAAATATTCGATAAAATGAAACAACATTTTTAGAGCAATTTAAAATGAATTGCAAAATTAATGCTTTAAAATTTCAGAAAAATTTGTTTAAAATTGCGCAAGATATGAGTCATTAAATAGCTCTTTTAGATGGCGCGTGAAAAATTTGAATTTCTTTTTTTTTCTTTCTAAAATTTGTAGAGCAACTAATAACTAATATTTCGCAACTTATAAAAAAAAAAGTCCGATTTGTTATCTTACGAGTTTAAGAATTTTCAAACAATTTTCAAAGCAGTTTCGTTTTGAAAGAAAACTCAAAATAATAAGGGTTTTTGTACGCAAATATCATTTTGTACTGTTAAAGATTTATTAAAAAAGGACTACTGCTGCATCCCCCATAAAAGCCTTTTCTCTTTTGCATGTTTTCTTTCCTTGTACAATCATATTTCGGTGCATAAACGTTTATTGTAAGGAATTATCGTACGTTATTTATTTATTTTTTTATGATACAAAATAATAGTTTTTCAGAAAACCCCTTATCATTTTAAGTTTTCTTTTAAAAGGTACGAAAACTACTTTGAAAATTGCTTGAAACTTTTTAAAATTTTAAGACAATCAAATCAGATTTTTTTTTAGTTGCCAAATACGATTCAGTACAAATTATGATTAAAAAAAAATTAAAATTTTTTCTGCGCATGCACCAATAATATTGTAATTAATTTTAAATTGCATCAAAAAGTGTGTCTAGCATAATTAAATATTTTTAAATTTTTAGCAAAAAAAGAAAAAAACGTAAGACAAAGAAAAATAGTTTTAATTAAAATGGTCATATCTCCATACATATCGAAGCTAGGTTTACAAAATTTCGAGCAATAGTCGCATATAATAACCACAATAATTGTTACAAGTTACAAATTTATTCCTACTTTTTTTTTTTTTTTTTGGCATTCAGTGTTCAAAAATACTTTGTTCCGTATGTAATTTATTGTCGGTCCCTGAGAAGTATAAGAAATCGCCTTCAGAAGTTCTAAAATGATTCTTTAAGTATTTCTTGAGAATATGAAAAATTTATTAGTATCGAAGTGTTTCCATTATTTTATCTACCCCTGTATGTGTATATATATATATATACATACACACACGAAAACACACTTTATAGTGTTGGAGTGTACGAGAAGATTTTAACTTTTTCACTCATCATGAAACCAAATTTTTGTTATTTAACCTGTTCAGGACGAAAGTAGAAGGAAGTGCACGCACGCCCTTTAGACACCCTTTTTGATGTTGAGGTAAACGAAATACATTTTTAAGTACAGAATGGTAGTTATCGTGCGGAAAATGATATAAAATTGACAAAATAACAATCGTTTAAAATAAAAAATAGTAAAACTGTAATTGTTATTTAAACGAAGTGTTTTTGTAATTTTGGGTTCTAATGCGTACGAAAATAGGAGTTCTCAGTAAGCAAATGAATAGATGGAAATAAAAAAAGCGGTAAATAGAAAACGTAACTTATTGCACGGTAAAAAGTTTTAATTTACCTCCACATCAAAATGGGTGGCAACTCATTATACATTCACAGTTTCGGAACGGGACTGGATGATTTTTGCCGTTAAGCCTAATTTCATGTGACGATTTATATAAAATAGTAGCTGTATCCTATGCTACGAAAGTCTACTCCCGCATCACAATTTAAACAAAAGGAAAACTGAGATTATGGGTCAAAAAGTCTTAACAAATGTTAAAATACATCCAATAAAAGAAGCACTCGAAATGCCTTTTGAAATTCGGTCCGTGGCTGCTCGTGTCTGAAGAGTTCCTGAAGAGGTTAATAACCTANTTTTTTTTTTTTTTTTTTTTTTTTTTTTTTTTTTTTTTTTTTTGCTTTGTACTGAGTCATCATGAAGCACAGCATTGATCCACATAAATTCTTATCCTATTAAAGAGGAGGCAAAATGTTTTCATGCCATCTGTGAAAAAGTTAAAATGGGTTATTATACTTAATTTTTAACACTCGTTATGCTTAAGAGCGCTAGAAGACATGCTTTTTATCTAAACACCAACCTAGTCACAATCAAGGCAGTTACAGGTATTGTTAGATGCATGCAAACACAGTTTCATCTCCAACATTGAGTCCCAAGAAGTCAAAAAATAATTGATATAAAATGTAATAAAAGTGCCAAAATTCTGTCACATCTCGATGCCCTGAAATCTTGCTGCATTCATATGAATGGTCCCCTGGTAACGTCGCGAGATCATTTCCAAAGTGCATGGAAATGTATTTTGTCTTGATTTACCTCTCTCGACCACAGCGGTTCTTTCGAGTTTTTTTTTTTTTTAACCTTTATTTATTTTTCGTTTTCTGTACCACGGTTATATTTTTTCTTTTTCTTGTTGGTAACTTCAGAAAATGATGAAGTCACTTTTATCCCAACTTTCAGAAGTTTTTTAATATCCTCATTTATTGTTGCTAATTTTATATATTTTATGTATACATATTCATTTGTAATAAGATGTGAACTGATGATCCCTGTAACACGTTGTTGTAAATATTGTATATTCACTGAGCATATTTAATCAAGAAAAAATAACTCTTTATTTCATGAAATGGCCACTGTTTTATTTAAGACTACCATTTCTTCAACAAAGTGTTTTCTTAAAAAGCATTGAATAACTTTGTGAAACAGATATTTAATATACTATTAAAAAATAATTTTTCGAAAAAAATATAATTAAAAATTTTTTTTCACAACATTAAAATGAAACATTTCAAAAATATCAATAAAAATGAGATTAATGTTTAGAAAAAACTTACGCAGTTTTTTAATAAAAACTAATTTAAGCAAAGCTCTGAAATGTTTCTAAAAAATGCATACATTAATTTATTGTCCCTGGCCATATTATGAGACGTACTCTATGTAAAATCTTAATGATCAGTTGATACAGCTTTACTGTTTTGACGCGGTTTGCAATTGTTTATGTTTGTGTATTAATTGGTTAACATTGGCATGCAATACGTTAAAAATAAATGCAAATAGGAAGTATATAATCCGAATATATAAACACCCATTACATGCCTGTTTAACTATAAAAGTATTGCCTATAAACTCTAGCAAAACATGTCATTATCAAAAAACTACACTGCGTCTCATCATTTGATCTAATTATTATAAAATACTAATGTAATAAATATTCCATATTTATATAATATATCGTCTCATTTAACTCATTGCACAAACGTAAACAAGTGCAAACTGGTTTCAGTAGCGTAAAAACAATAAACATGTATAGTATCGCCTGATAATTAACATTTCACATAGAATCTTACAGTGCGTCTCATCATTTGGCCAGGGACTGTAAATAACTAGTTAGAAAAGATACGTTGGAAGAGTTTTGAAAAGAAAAAAAATCACTCTTAAAGCAATAAAAAACTGCGATTTAGTTATTTTCGTGACATTTATTTCATTTTTAGATTAGTTTTGAAATGTATTTTATCGAGCTGTCACTTCACTCTAAAACAAAAAATCTCCTTAATTTCTCAACACCAAAAACGATGGCAACACGAGAGTGTTGAACCCAGAATGTTCTCGATGTGAAGTGTAACCATTCCGTTTGATGTAGTTATTTTCATGATGGAAGACACGGATATTATGTGTATAGTTGCCATCATTTTTGATGTCTATAGTTATCGCGCAACATAGCATTGGATACTTGACTGAATGTACACAATAACGAGACATTCAGAAAACTTCGGGTGTATCCCTCCGCTTATATGTGTGAACAGGCTTAGTATTCTAAGAAGTTTGTGAATAAGTTCACGCGTAGTTTTACCATTCTGAAGAGTTTTGTGCAATTTACAAATTGTAACAGGTTGCAAGCGTTCAACAAATTTCAGAAAATGAATGTCAAAACATATAAAAAGTGTCAGGTATGCCTTGTTTGGAGTGTTATCCCTCATTTGGCTGTTTGTTATTTTTCGGATAGCAAGCTTGTGGAGTTTTCCAAATTTATTTGTTTCATTGAATTGAAAGAACGCGTATAATTGGACGGCTTGCTCTTTCAAGCTCGGGAGTAAAAATCAATGCAACCCGGAAGTCTTATGACGACTCGAGCGCCCTCTGTGCTCAGCTTTACAACCATCCATTGTTTGAAAGAATGGGTGTAAAAATAGGATTAAAAATGTGCTTGTTTTTTAAACGATGTTTTTGCAATGAAGCCCGAAACATGATTCTAAAGAGCATCAAATTATGTGTTGTCAGTTAACTAACAAACAAAAAATGAATAAATTGATAAATAAAACTATTAACATGGAAAAAGTTGAAGAAAAAATGTGACTGCATGCATTGTAAAAAATTCTAGTGTACCTCAGCACAAATATTTTTTTACAGTGTAGGGTTTTTTTTTCATATCCGTCGTTGAACAACCGACACAATTTGTGGTTGTACGACTACTAATGTTCAACTCTGTAGCCTTGTCATTTTGAACCCAATCCAGAAGACAAAGGAACTCCTGGATCGAGTATTAGGGGAGGAGGGAATTTGCCTTGGTGGAGGACTATTTGATGGAACTAACCCGTATTTGCGTTACATGGAGAGGAAGCCCACGAGAAACTCCCACGGTTAGCTTGACCGCATTGGGAATCTAATCAACCGTCTACCACTGAGGATATTTCACATCAGCACTGTGGTCGGTGCAAGCCGGATGCGGAATTCGCATTGAGTGGGATTCGAACCAGGTTTGCTTCATTGGAAGGCGAACGCTCTATCCCCTGAGCTCTGCAGTGTAGGTTTAACAAAACCGAAGCAAATAGAAGTTAAAATTTTAAAAAATAATGTAGAATTATAATTAAAAATAATAATTATTTCTGTTAAGCATCTAAAAACAGTGTCATAATCGTACCCTCTCTGATTTCGGTGTAGTGAATGCGCAATTCACGCAGAAGAATAAATTTTCCTTTTTTGAAATTTAAATAATATTAAAATTGCAAATTTTATTTCGAAACTTTCTTGTTAAGAGACTATGAATAAATTATTGAAATTGTTTTTAAAAATTATATAAAAGAAATTTGAAGCATGATTTGTGAAATATTTTGAGGAGTTTCCTTTTTTTTTTTTTTTATTCCGGTTGAATCAACCTGGGAAAATTTCTGCAGGCTCTCTAGACGATATAAAGAAATAAATTTTCAAAAAAAATATTTTTATAATTTGTACTTTTTTTCAATAACTCTTGAAGTAAATGAATCTTTTTTTTTTTTTATTAATATATGTTTATTTTTACTAATAATATACATAAAAGTATTTGAAAACTTTTTTCACAATGGTTTGATCCTAAACAGAGGAAATATAAGATTTAAAACTAAAAGTTTTTAGGGAAATAATTTTCTCACAAAATGTATTTTTTATGACACACTTTTAAAATATTTTATTTAATTTTTACTAGAAGAGATACGCATCATTTTACGCCCTTTTCATTTTTTTATTAACATTTTCTTCTCTCCCACAAAATTAAAACAAATGATTTTTTAACTCTAAAATTTCCATTTGAATGGAGTCAAAAACCTTAAGTGCATGTGTTTTCGAAGGAAAAACGGAACAAATCGTTTAATGGAGGAAAAAAAGAACACGATTACTCTCTAAGAACAAGATCTTTTGATTTTAGAGAATAAAAAATGAGAGTCAATTTAGGCTCTGATTATAAATGATTGAGAAGCTTAATCAAAGGCAATATCATAAAATTAAAATATTACAAAGTACTGTAAAAGGGTGCCTGTAACCAGGGCCGGATTACCCATTGCATTAGGCCATGGCTTGGGGCCCCCTTAAAATGGATTTTTTGAAAATAAATTTTAAAAAATTAATAAAAACAATGATTTTTCAAAATGTTATGATTATTTTTTAGTTCCAATTTAATAAAATAAAGTAAAATTTAATTTATTATTATTTATTTTAAACATGCTTTCTTAAATGATCAGATATATAAATACTTTTATATTTGAATAAATAAAAAATATATGAGAAAAAAAAATTTAATCTAAGGTCCCCAAAAATTTGAATGGCCTAGGGCCCCGCGTACACTTCATCCGGTCCTGTTTGTAACAAAATAATTGAAAATGCTATTCCCCCCCATCACGTTTGCATCAATCCTTTTGGAACGCTTAAAAAAAGTATTTTATTTGTTGCGTTGATATGACTTTTGCATGGAGTTGAGAAATGTCCTTCACAGTATCGGGGGTTTGGAATGCCTACTTTTATAATCCTCTAACATGAAGCTCTGAATCAAGTTTTAAATGTTTAATTCGCACTGAAAATTGGTAATTGCTGTCGCTTCGAAACTTATTGGTTTAAAAAAAATAAAATATGCCTTACTTTTCTGTAACAATTTAAAATTTTCCACCTTCATAATATGGAGTATTTTTGGCCCAAAAAAGGCAAAAGTGCAGGTGGGGGATGTTTCAGAGAGGCTTCGTCTAGT